TCTTCTTGTCTGATGCACTCAACCAAGCATTCTAACCACGACCTCGCCCCTCCCCATCCCCCAACCATTCGAATTTCCGTAGGCGGGAATTATTTTAAGGATATTCTAATGGGCCGCTTTGTGACATCACAATCCCCCAGAAAACAACGCTGTAGTCCAAACGAGCCGTTCGTTGTAGTTCTTGAAAAGGGATTTTTTTTAAATTCCCTAAAAATGCCCAAGCATACACACTACACACTGCCTAAAATTCAAAAAGTGAAAAAGCATAATAGGGCCCCTTTAAAGAAAGACAAGTGGATGGCTGAGAGAGAGAGAGAGAGAGAAAGACATGGATGGATGGAAAGGAAAAAAGATGGAGGAAAGAAAGATGGTGGATGGATGCAAAGAAAGAAAAGGATGGATGGAAGGAAGGAAAGAAAGATGGATGGATGTCAAAAGGGAGAAAGAAAGATCGATGGGTAAAGAAAGTAGGAGAGAAAGCTGGATGGATGGAAGAAATAATTGATATTCATTGATTGATTCGTTCATGAAATGGCAGTCTCCAATCGTATTAACGGGCTTTATGCATTTTTCAGACTTTCCAGGCTAATTATTGAGTGTTTTGAGGATGAGCCAGTTGGTAAACACAGTTTGAATTAAAGTTCAGATGTACAGTGTGAAAATCCGAATTTAGTTTGAGTCTCCTAACAGTATGTAAATTAGATGCTCGAGCACACCTGTATACAGTATGTTCAGTTTTATTATCAGTTATCTGAGGTTCCCTAATGCCACATAAAAGAGACCCTTCGTTGGTCATTTTTTCATTGGTCAGATGGTTTCTTCCTAAGTGGGCGATTCTTGGCCAGAAGAGCTGCAGTGTGGACCAGACTTCATATCAAACGTCTCTTGAAAGGGCGGAGATTGGCAAATTGAATGCTAGCGTCTCGTGTGAGTCGGTTAATCTCTTCAGTATTCCAGGCATGTTGTGATCTCTCTTCCTCTCTGCATTTGACTCGTAAGAAACCCATTACCACATGAAAGACAACATCTGGCTTCCTCACGGCTGGGGCTGCTGTTTCTGTGTGTGAGACAGGTGAAGAGCAAGACTGCGAGTCTTTCGGCCCCTCACGATTCAGAGTCACGATTCCGATTCCTAATGCGTCTCAAGTGTTTAGCAGCAGTGTAGGGTTTGCTTTCTTTGCCAAGTTCTGTGACCTTAAACTTTGTCACTCAGTATATATTGATGCAGAACTGCTTCTACTGCTGCTGCATGCTTTAGTGTTTGCCTTAAACTATGACTTGTTCTTGACTTCTAAATTATCAACTATTGAATGTGCAACATGTTTTATCCTGCAGCATATTTTAAAATATAGAGGTCATGAATGTTGGTTGGATGTTGAAAAGCTTATTTAGCCCTGTTGTTTTTGGATATTTTTTTATGGTATGTTAAGGTCAGGAGAATTGGGGCAAATATATTGTCATGAAAATGCATCTTACTGAAATAAATGATGGTCAATTGTGGTCAATCTCACAGAAAAACCTGGGTTCACAGAAGTAACGTTTCATAAAAAAAAAATTATAAATATTTATTTATTAAATAATAAATATATGTAAATAAATATTTATTTTAATAATGATGCATTTATTTCCTACAAATGTAATTGACCATTTTTTTTGTTTTTTATAATAAAAATATTTATTTATTTTGACCCAGTTATTCTGTAGCAGACTGACCATCATAATGCCGGTCAGCATGCAGTATGCATGTCTCTCTCTCTCTCTGTTTCTGCTGGGATCTGGTTGAGGAGGTAAACTGAGTGTGGGAGTGTTTCAGATGGAGATGACGTGTTCACAAATCAGCCAACTGAAAGACAGTCGTGATCCTTCAGGTAGAACCCAGATAAAGCCTCTCACTTTTTCTTCTCATGCTCAGTCTCTCTCTCTCACACACACTCTTACAGTGTTTGTCTGAGCAGAGTGTGTTAGTGAGCGTTTCCTTCATGTGTGGCCGGTGGGTTTGTGCTCTGAGTGTTAGATTGGTCTCTAGTGCTAACACAGTATTTATCTCTATTACGCTCTTGTTACAGGTCTTTCATCAGGTCAGTTGAGCCTATGACACTTTTAAAGAAGTAGTTCACCTAACAATCAAAACCCTGTCATTGTTTACTTGCCTTGTTGGACGCAACTCTCTTTCTACAATGAAAGCACAATGACTGATTTGCATTATGAAGCATGCAGTTTGGCATCTCTGACGTCAAACTTGTCACACACCAAGTGTCAGAACTTCCCTAATTCAGATTTTGTAATGCTTTTATCTTATATGCTCACCAATGCTGCTTTTGTTTGCTAAAAATACAGTAAAAAAAAATATGCTGCATTGTTTTCAGCATTGATAAGAAATGTTTCTTGAGCAGCAAATCAGCATATAAGAATGATTTCTGAAGGATCATGTGACACTAAAGACTGGAGTAATGATGCTGAAAATTCAGCTTTGATCACAGGAATATAAATTACATTTTACAATATATTACAATAGAAAATAGTTATTTTAAATTGTAAAAATATTTCACAATTTTCCTGTTTTTGCTTGAGGATTACAAACTTTTGACTGATAGTGAATAAGTTTAAATTTGGGTCACAAAAATGGTCATTTGACTTCAGAAGACTTATATAATATAACACAATGCACAAATAATTTTCTTGTGCTTTTTGTCTTTTTTTTTGGAGGTTAACAGCTTCCGTTCCTGTTCATTTTCATCGTATGGAAAAGAGCAGAGTGAACATTCAGCTAAGCATGTCCTTTTGTGTTTCACAGAAAAAAAGGAAGTTGAACAGGTTTGAATTGATATGAAGCTGAGAAAATTATGGCCAAATGTTCATTTTTCACCAGACTAGTCCTGATTTAACCTACAGCCTGAAAGCACAGTTTCTAAATTCACTGTCAACCCAACTGTTTTACAGTTCAGACCACCATAC